CACATACACGGCAGAGTCATTAAGATAGATTAGTAAAGTTGAAAAAAAGAACTTTTACCTCAAGAACAAGAATAAAATAAAAATTGTGCAAGTAGGCAGGTCAAATAAATTGAAGAAGTTCAAGAAACGCGAGATAAGTAAACAGCAGATACATAAATTATAAGTTAAACGGAAGCAAAACAATTGCGCTGTTTCAATCATTAACAAAAGAATGTTTTGTGTTACTCTCAGACGTCAGTACGCAAGAATCCGAGAAAAGAAAATAAAAGATAAACAAGGTCATCAATAACTCCATTTTTACCGCTTTTCCAATTAATGAACAATATACGCAAAGCTTTGTGAGGGATGTCGTGATGTGTGTACAACATGAACGTTGAAACTACATCCAACTATTACAGAGAGCAGACCAAATATAAAATTAGTGGGAAACTGAAGACGGGCCATGCGAAAAAAAAAAGAAAAATTTCGAAGATTCTTCACTCAATTGAGGCTATTGAGAGGATAAGATGAAAGAGAAGAACACGAAAAAAAGAAGAGATGAATAAGAAGAACTTAACTTAATAATCAAAACGAAAAAAATATCTTTATATCTCAAAAATCTAAAACCTTAAGGCATAGCGTAAGGTGGACCAGCGAAACAGGAAGACCAATATTAATTCTTCGGATGAATGATGAACTGGGCTCTCTAATTTTCGTCTAACTAGACTTCCAGAGTCTTCAAAAAAAGGAAAAATCCGAGGGGACTATGCGGATGCAACAGAAGATGAATAGCAAAGGTTAACAGAGACAATAGCCAGAGAGACACAGTGGGCTGAGAAAAATAATTTATTTTTCAACTTTTTTATTTTTCTCTTTGAAAAATCAAAAATTATTCGATTTTATGTACATATGTAAATAAAGGGAAACTAATATGCTGTAGAAAGTGTGTACTATTATGCATTACAACTACTTTCGTAAGTTAACACACTCGAATTCAGTACACGTATGGAGTGAGTGAGAGAGAGAGAGAGAGTCATCACTGCATATTCGTCTTATAAGTCTCGCTAAAAAATAAGGAAGAAATTCAAAAAATACGAAAGTCTATTGCTGCTAAAGAGAAGTCTGCACTATCACAGCAGCAGGGTGTGTGTATGTGCCCTTTGAAGAAGAGAAATTAGGTGAAAAAAACATCTAAATTCATGAAGCGACAGTAAACGGATTCGTCATGTAGCTGACGACAAATTTCATTTTTATTATGAAAATAAAAAGTGTAAGAGAGATGACCAGAACGACCAACTAGCTCGGTTGTGTCCATTGCAATCCGAGTGGAAAGCGAAGAATGCTGAAGAACAGCAAAGAAGTCATGAAGTATGAAGTAACTTATAGAGACACTTCAATAATTTTGAAATTAATGAAAGACATTGGATATGTGAAGATGGCAATGCAACTATCATTTTGCCAATTTAATAAAAATAAATTCTTTTTAGAGATTCCAAACTCTTTGAACGTGGAAATGCAATAAGCCACATTAGTTGGAAAGGATTAACATCAGAACTTAACTGAATATCCCTTCAGAACCAATTTCCAATTCTATTATTTCATCAAAAAATTTTAAGAAGAATGAACTTTCTGTACAAAGCTTGATCTTTGGAACGTATAGTTACTCTCTTTACTTTCATAAGCTAACTTAGAGCGGGTGTCGAAATCTTGAAAAACAATTTTACTTTTTCATTTCATCAATGCCACCCTCACTCCTCCCTCGTGTAAATGCTTTTCTTCGCAAAAAAAAAGAATTCTTTCTCCCGAACAGCTTTTTGAAAAAAAAATTCTCAACAGGCAGGCAAAAGTAAGCAAAGAAAGTTTCGGAGCAATAAAAATGAAATAATCTAGGAAGGGAGTGCTCCTAAACCACTGGCAGTCATTTCTGGGAAGGCTTAAAAGCAGAGAAAGTAGAAAAGCTGTCATCCTTATGAAATCACTAAGAGCAACATAGAAACAAGTAATAGAATGATCTTTGACAACATCATTCCATGCGCTCGTGTCCCTCATTGGGAGCTATCTACTCCAAAATTCTAATTTGTTTTGCTCAAATAACGACAACTTTTTAAGATTTTGTGTATGTAGAAGAGCTGCAGTTTTAGATAAAAACACATCCTAAATAGTCTGAATACATGCAGACTTGAAAAATCTAATGATGGAAACGCTTGCGAGTCCAGAAATTAAAAGGCTTCAATGGATGTAAGAAAAAAAAAGACTCATATGCTCAAAATGGAAGCTTCCGAGATAAAATAAAAGCATTAATGATCTACATGCAAGATATGCATACTCTCCACTTTAATTAGATGGATTATTCAGCGCAAAAGATTTGCAACTATCAAATATCTCACGGAAGACCAAGGATAAATGTAAAGCCTTAATAAGCAGCAAGAAAGCGAATTATAAAAGATAGAATGCTCAAGTGAGCAAGAGAATTTGAGTATTTCAAAGGAAATAACATCTTTGCTTTCCCGCATTCTTTTACCAGATCTCTCGGTAATTGTGGAAAGGAATCAAAGAAAAATTCTGAGGCCGAATCGTCTTAGAAGCGACTTTTCGTTATCCACTATAACTCATCACAAATTGACGAACAAAAGAGTCCAACAAAACCCTGCTTACACAGGGAGAATTAAAGCTCAAGAAGTCCAGAAGAAAAGTAAAAATATGAAAAGAAGAGGACGCACCTTGAGCTTTATTGAATTAAGTCAGCAGGCTGGGCATTCACTGGTAGATAACCTGAAATATCTTCTATCAATCAGCTGAAGACGAAAACCAACTGACTCAAGTCAAAACTCAAAATTTCTACTACATGATTTGACGCCATTAAACAATTGGCATTTTTATGTTTCGACGAAGGCTGAATTCCAATCAGCTAAACTTTCTCCAATGGTACTACTTTCTTCTGAAATATTTTTTATTAGAAAATAATATGTAACTGCTGGTATCATTCCCATGTACTCTTACATCACCATTATCTCAGAAAACACATTCTTTCCCCTCCTAGCCCATTGAAACAAATTCCGCTCAATCGTTTTAGCATTTCAAGAATGAAAACAACTCTTCCATTTCAAAAATATTTTAAAGCTTTGTTTTCTTCTTCAACATTCAACTGATATATATATAACAACCTCTTCTATTTTGACATATGAATAGCGTCAATAACTATTCTATAATCTAATGTAATTTTCATTAGTTTATTACCTTTTATCGCTCGAACGTATTGTAGTCTCTCATTCCCAAAAACGTTACAATTGTCCTTCATGAATGCACGAGAATTCATGATTACCATAACGATGAGATTTAACAATTAGGAAGGTCGTCATGTCCCGAACACATTCACACATCAATCGCATCACAATTCACCGTTCAAAATTCAACAAAAAACTTTGAATCTCCCTGGGATACGATCAATATTTGCTCTCTGTCACTTGAAAAACGGACAACATTATCTCATTACTGATGCAAAAACTTCTACAGGTCGTCTCATTGCGCAACTGACCACAATTGGCATTGTTATGAACCACAGGAGATAGCGGCATAAAGAGACCGCTTAACGAAAACTCTCATATTGTGTCATTGGCCATTCATTGAATTTAAACACAATTATTTCGACTATTTGACAATATGCTGCGAACCTCAAGAACTTTTTGTGCACATTGACGATCAACCCTCCGCCCTCCCACCAGCCCCCTGCAGCCAAACCTCAGCAAATTAGGTAGAAATGTTTTCATAGCAAAACCTATTAAATCATTATATCACCCCTGTCACCCGAAAACATATGATTAATAAAAGATGATAAGTCATACGGATAATCTTAATCATCGGAGGAAACAGAAGAAACGGACAAATCGTCCACAGCGTCGCTCAAAATTATTGTTGTGTTCTCGTCCTCAAGGTCTTGTCATCATCATTATGTGGCCCGTCTCAGAATGAATCATTTGTCATCAAAAACAAATGTGATTTGATGGATACTGTTCTAAATTCCGATCAACATACATTTTCCCTAATTTTATTACTAGCGCGATTATTTTATTGCAAATCCTCTCGTCACACTCACACACACACAAATTACACAAAAAATAAAAAGAAATACCTGGACAATGGATGTTGATAGCAGACAGCAGCAGAGTACGACCGATCATCACGCTTGCAGAAATTCAAATGAAGCGTCTCAGTTTTCAAATAATCAACTGGCGCGCAATACTGCCACAGGGTAATTTGCATAATCAGGCAGCCGTGTAGAGTATTCGAACGGCAAGTGAACCGCAAACCATAGAAAGTCAAAACAAGAAAGAAAACATAATAAATATATATTTATGAGTAGTACTCGCACAATTCGACATGATATATAAGTATCTGAGAGCTTTTCAAAATCTCGAAAGTAAACAAATACTCGGAGAGAGTTCAAAAAGACAATCTGCAAACGTAACCAATGTGAAAACAAAATTGAGAAATAATATCACAGTACTTTTGACAGGGCTCAATGGAATAAAATTGTAACCAAAGACAGTCAAATACAAAAGGAACGAAGACGTTAGATGTCTTCAAAAACAGAAGGTGGAATTACAAGAGCTTCTGAAGCTTCAACATATAGATTTCGGTTCAAATCACCTATTTAAATACAATATTTACAAGGCACTGTATGAGTGAAATTGGGAAGAGCCCTGTGAGGAAAATTCTAACAAAGTAGGGTAAGAAGAAAGAACAAAACCGAAGACCAGTAATGAGAAACAGGAAGTTAGTAAAAAAAAACAAAAAGCATGCAAATTGATAAGAACTCATGAGTGCTTTTGAGAAAATAGAGGAGAACTCTGAATTTGATAAAAGGACAGAAAATGAAATCTATTATATGTCTAAGGACAAACTTCTCTTTAAATCTACAGTTTTTCAAATTTTAAATGACAAGAGGGATACACATGAAATCATCGGATTGATATACCTGCTTTAAACGGACTGGTTGTTCCTAACTATACACTTGAGGAGATTCAAACAAAGAATCCTTCTTCTTTACGAGGTAATGTTCTAGCACGATGTGGCATTGTTGCTTGTTGAACATCCGGCCTGGAAAGTCCACGGGCCAACTGCAACTGATGGAGAGCGTCACGTATTCTTTGGAATTCTTCAGTTATTAAACCTGAAACCAGATATTGTTTATCACGTAGCTTCACTTTCACTTACCCATGGCTAAGAGATCTAAGTGTCCACGTCGGGAGAGATCACTAACAGTGAAAACACCTCCCTTGTTCAACTTATCCGAAGTATGACCCATTCCGAGTGAACGGAGGAAGTCATCCAACTGAGGATAAGTTGGTGGTGATCCTGATGGTGGAGGAGGGCATTGAGAAGAAATTCCAGGAGGTCTAACAGCACCATAAGCATTCTCAAGGCTGAAACAATGAAGTAAGAACAGGATTTCCGAAGAAAAACACTTACTGATTAGTAGAATAAGCATACTTTGACACTAAGCTGGAGTCAGTGTAAATATACTCAGGATTACGAGAATATTTTTCCAAAATAGCCAAAAGCTGGGCGAACGATGGGCGATCATGTCTTTCCAACTTCCAACACCACAACATGATTCTATGAAGTGAGGCTGGGCAATCCATAGGAGCAGGAAGACGATAACCGGCCATTATTTCACTGATAACTTTTTGGTTGGTCCAATCCCAATACGGTCTTTCGCCGAAAGAGCATACTTCCCACGTCAAAACACCAAAGCTCCATACATCAGAAGCCGCGGTGAATTTTCGATGAGTTATGGCTTCAGGGGCTGTCCAACGAACTGGGATTTTTCCACCATTAGTGGTATATTCTCCTGCAGCTGTATCGTCAACTCCACGAGAAAGTCCAAAATCAGCTATTTTGCAATTGAATGCACTATCCACAAGAACATTTCTCGCAGCCAAGTCCTAGAAAGAAGAAGATGAGTGAACCATATGACAGGATAAACATACTCTATGAACATATCCTTTATCGGTTAAATATTTCATTCCAGAAGCTATGCCGCGGAGCATATTAACAACATGAGGCCATCCTATTTCGAATCCTTGGGCGTCTTTGCCTCGAAGGAAGTTGTCTAAAGATCCGTTTTCCATGTATTCGGTTACTGAAAAAGTTGATTTGATAAGCTATTCAGTCTTGAGGACATACCGATCATTGCAGGTTCTGCGCGAGTTACTACTCCAATTAAACGGACAACATTAGGGTGACAGAATTGGCCCATGATTGAAGCTTCCAAGAGGAAATCAGCTTTGGCTTTAGCACTACTACCAGGCTTAAGAGTTTTGATAGCTACGGTTTCAGTCTGAAAAATGGCTTTCATGAAGCTTTACACATGTCGATAAACTCACTCCTTCGACATTTTGATCACCAAGGATGTTCCTTTTAAGGCCTCCCATACAAACATCTCCAAATTCTCCACCACCGATCACATGAGTGATGAAAACTGCAGCGGGATCGATGTCATATGTGAATTCAGTGAGAGCTTGATTGGGGTCTTCATAGGCAGTGGGGTCCACATATGGTTTGAACTTGCTCGCACTATTTCCATAATATGGAGGAGGTTGTGAGACTGATGTTCCATAAGATGGAATGAGAGGAGCATTAACTGAAAAATATCAATGAGGGATGAAAAACTAAAGTCTAATATAGGAAAATGATATAATCATGCAGCAAAAAGCACTTACTCTTGGCGGAACGGAAAATGTCATTGAACTGACGATGGCCAGAGCTGTAGTCTGGTGTCATCGTATCTGAAAAAGCACAGATCACAACACTGTCACGAAAAGCAAGAAGCTAAGCAGGAAATTAGAGGGATACTCCGAATAACTTCGATGCTTTCTGGAAAATACTCACCTTGTTTGTAAGTGTCCAATACATCCAAATCGCTCATTTGCTTTCTATTACGAGTATTTCTACGACAAATCAGAAGCATGAATGCTAGAAGAATCATGAGAAGCAATGTGCTCAATCCAAGTACCCATGGTGGGATAGCTTGGAGAGCTGTTGTTTCAGGTTGCAAGATTCCTGTCGAGCTACCAACTGGATCACGAGTAGCATAATCATACTGAAGTGGTTCACTCCATTGACCCCATCCACCTTGATCAGCTCGAACCTAAATTGATAGTTTGAGCCATGTATATGATTACAGATACTCACCTTGAAGGTATAATGACCAGGACGAAGATTGCTTACAGTAAGTGAAGGAGAATCAGAAGAAAGAATTTTCTTTCCAGTGGGTGAAGTTATTTCAATTTCATACTGTCTAACAGTGCCTTCTGACTCAGGAGGGTGCCAACTGATTACTACGCCTCCGCTCAACTCTGCATCAACTCTGACAGAAGTGACTGGCATTCTTGTTGATCTTGGAGTTGAGAATGAAACAGTAGCTTGTGATCGGGCTCTGTTGTTCTTAGCCACAGATGAAACTTTGTTCTTGGCGATTACATGGAATGTGTAACTGGACTCAGGCTCCAGATTTCTCACAACAACAAATCGTGAGTTGATATGAGTCATGGAGGGATATACACTGATTCCAGTGCAAGCACCACGGTGACATTCGACTTCATACCAAATTTCCTAGAAAACAGATGATTCAAGAGAGAAAACAAGAAAAGTATCATACTGAACGGAATCCGAGATTATGAGGTTCGTCCCACAACAACTCAACGGAAGTATCGTTTTTCACTTTTGCAATGACAGCAATAGGCTCACTTGGTGGCTCTGTAATACGGAAGAATCAGATGAGGAAAAAAAAGCTTCAAAACTTACGGGAACAAGCTGCAGAGACAGGTTCTTCTGGAGCACGATGATAACCATCGTAGCAAGTACATTTCGTGCCTCCAGCATGCATTTGTGAAGAATTGGCAGGACAACGTTCGCATCTCTTATCTCCCTTGTCAGATTTGAAGGTGTCAGATGGACAGGCTGAAAATATTATATTATAAAACATTTCCTGGATATTATGAGATATCTGAACATTAACGGAGGTCATAACTCATTATTCGAATGAGACAACCTTCCTTTTATGGCGAACACGTTTTCATTCTCAGGTCGTGATAGTTGCCGGTAATCAAATATTTATTACGCGAACATTAATTCGAACCTCTCTTTATTACCCCAAAGTAAGAAACAATGTAGACAGATGTTCTTATTTAAACATTGTTTTATAGATCCACGTCGTGCGTATCCATTAAGAGAATTAGAAAAAAAGCTTTGTGTACAATACTCTCTTAGCGTACAGAACAAACCCCCCTTTCTCTGATTACTTTATAAAACAACATATAAAGAAGATGACCGAAGCTGAAAAGAATGGCCGTTCAGTGACCTCTTACCCTTCCTTCTCATCACCCTCTAAATAAACATATCAGCTACAGCGTCTAGGGTGCGGCAAAGTGTCGGCTCATCTGCCGCTAAGCCGTTCAAGCGGGCAACTAGGTGCTAAAAGAAACACAATCCCACATGAAACATATGCCGCTTCGGTGGTGGTCCGGACGCTTGGCTCGGATCTCTTACAATAGTACTCAGCTGGTTCATCTCACGAATTCGGTATCTCATGCTGGCAGTGAACAGCTGATTCATAGTCTCGAAGCCGAACTTCCCACGGAAGGATATGGGAACGGATCTCAATATAGACTCAAGACACATCCATTACGCATCCTTTCCCTTTTTGTTGGAGCAGTCGATTGCAATGAGCTCATTCATATTCTCGAATTCTCAATAGATTTGTCCCCTGACCTTGTTGCATTGTTATACTTCTTAAGGATATAACGGCTTACAATGTTATAGAAACATTCCCTTATTGGAATAGCCCTTGTCAATTTACATCTAGCAAGCAAGCAAGCAAAAAATCGCAAAAGGCCATAAACCTTGTAACCCCATACCGCATATCAAACACACCTGGATCGGCAAGCCTTTGAAATAAACAGGCTTATAAATTCATTATTGTAATGAGCGAGTGATAATGCCCATAAAGAACTTGTGACCAACATGAGAAAAAGATCCCATTTATGGTGTTGACGGTATATGGTGCCCTTTTACTCCATAAGTCGCCAATTTACAGGCCGACGAAACAATTACATTAACAAGATTAGACTGCGCCCTAGTTGGTTAGTTGTCAAAGCAGCAAACAATATGATCACGAACATGTGCTTGTCTCATACATTCATCTAGAAACCCTTCGCTAATCAGTTTAGTCCAATCGTAAGCTTCTGAGTAAGAAAGAACAATAAACTAAGAAAAAGAATGTAATGAACCCTCTCATCTTCGCCAGCCCGATGGTGTAGATATAACAGCTAAGCAAGTGGTGGTATGCCAGGCGCAAAGCATGTTCACCACCTGTTGTCACCATCATCTCTTTTTCTTTTAATTACCTTATAACATAGACATACTGTCATAAGGACCCGACTTGGTTTTTATTTGAAGACAGGCAGGAAGCCTTGAAGTGGAAACCAGGACTATCCGAACAAGGTATCAAAGGCATCCGCCTATCATAAACGCCCGTTCAATTTCATTCGCGTGGATTAACAGGATAGCAAAAATATAGACAGCATTTCCGACCCTGGTAAACGGCCAATGAACAGGAGTTTGGCCTCTATCTTTTGACTTTACAGTCTGATATACTCTGAGAAAGAAAATCGAGAAAGTTTATCGATGGAAAAGTAATTACGCAATGTGATCTCATTTGTCTCTTGTCTAGAAACAAAGGAACCGCAAGATATGTATCAAGACTTGGCAAACGGCGGAAGACTTATCAGAGAACAATCAGGCCTGCTGTTCATAATAGTGGAAGATCAGTCAATATCTCGCAAACACTCTACAAGCAGTTACCAGACGAATTTCCGAAAATATTGACTGATTATAATCAGGTTCTCGCAGATAATTTAATTCTGGCGATGTGTTATCCTCAAACAGAAACCTAATGTTTCTATTGAGTTTCAGGCTAACGAGATTAGACTTGAATCTCAATTATGGGATGATTGAGGTCGTTTCGCACCTGCTCTTCCATAACCCCTTTAAGATGTCACACGTTTCACTGAACCTCTCTCAGCGACTCAAAAAAGAGAAAAATATCCAAAATTCAAAAAATAGCACTCTCAAACACGCGTGTCGCTCTCTTATGAAGAAACAAAAGCTGACACTCAAGTCTAATTGACCGCCGCCATCTCATTATGTTTTCCCAAGAGAAAGTCTTCTAGAAATATAGAAGAGGTTCATAGTGGTCATCTTATGACTACAACCATAATTAGAGCTGCTTTATGATGCTCCCCGTATGTTACGAGATGGTTGTACGGTTGATGTCCTTTATGGTAGCCGCAGTGAGTAGTCATTTTGACCTTTCGACTCTATTACTCAGTGGACTCAACTGGTAATTTACAGCTCATCATTATCACATTTCATCCATTTCAGATAAAGAAAAAATCATTCACATTCAAAACATAGAACTACACCCCATATAATTAGTAATTTGAGAATTCGGGTAGAAGAATGCTAATTGAAAAACCGTACCTTTACATATATCTTCGCCGTCATTGTTTTGCCCAGCGGTGTATCCTGGATCACATTCACAATTTCCGATAATATGTTGTCCCCACTCTCCACTAGATTTGCAAAATGCAACAGGAGCCACTGGAGGTTAAAACAATTAAATAATTCTATGAAATGGGAACTTACTGTTAACGGCGGATGAGTTAGGAACGCAAGTTCCATGAACCATAACATTGTCACCGGCTTCAGCAGTGTTTGCAATAGTAGATTCGAAGATTGTGAAGTTGTGATAAGCACGCTCACATTGAGTATAGAAAACCTGAAAAGAAAATAATGAGTCCCTCGGTTACTAATCTTGTCTTCTCAAGCTCTTTGAATAATAAAATCCAAGCAGTGCATAGTATCTTCAGGACTGCACCTTTATTCAGACGTGAAATTTGCATTCATTTAGTTAGAGTACAATGAGAGATGCCCCCGGAATACCTAACGAGGAGAAACTTAAAATAGACAAGTCTCGAATAGTACATTTCGTATGAAGGGCCCTCAAGCCAATGCACATTAATAAAAGGTGAGTCAGGCTACTTCTTTCAAAATAATCATCATTGTCCATAGGTATTCATCTACTAATCCTGTTGCTCAGCCGTGACAACAGGTACTCAGCAAACATGCTGGAAACCCCTTGGATAATGCCAATTCGAGGTCAAGTCATGGCAGGCCTTATAAAATCTCCTACTTTCTTCCCGACCCAAATGTCTAGCAAATGTCATACAACGCAACAATTAGAATCATGTACTTGTCAATCTTAGAAGTTATAAGGTGATGTATACAATGATGTATTTTGCTGACCGGAAATAACTAATAATTTAGCTAATAATAACAACCGGTCTGTGCGTCTAACATTGAACATGCTTTGCAATTCTTTCATTAGTTATAGATACCCTCTACTGAGTTCTTTTATCTATATATCCATAATAAAGAAATTATCTATAACGGTAACGTCCATGATCACCTGTTCACCTTGCGCAACTATTTGACTTGATGAGGCAATATTATGAAAACAGTCAAATAGTAAAAAAGTGACTGACACCATTCGCAGAAGTTAGCACATATTGAAAGATGTGCCAGACAGACCTGACCTCTTAGGAGAGCTCAAGACAAACATCCGGGAGATCTGAGCTTTCTCTCACTAGGAGGTGTTAAATGACCTTATAAATGGAAACCAGGGCACTCGATGGCTCGATCAATATGAATGGAACAAACATATCCGATCAAACTAAAACATCTGGCCAGAACTAGGAAAAGCAATTGAGCTAAATGTTTCGAAATTAATTGAACTACTTTGCTGCGCTTTGTCAACTAAGCTTTTTCATTCTTAGCGAAATTAATGAAGATTCTCTCACATGCGAAATGAAACCCTGTCATACAACACGTTAGTTTTATTGCAATCCTAACATGTGTAGTTGATCTGAGCTAGGAAAGCATTAGCTATTAATTGAAGTAACTCTGACATACAAGCTGAGAAGATCAAAAACATGACATTTGGTGAACTGCTTAGCCATGTCATCATCCATCATCTAGGTCCCTTAGTTTGCGTACTAATTGATATTCATACACGCGTAAAATGACAGTATATGGACCAGATTATGAGATGGCGCATGAGATATGTTCTGGTTATTGTTTAATTTCACTTGTCTGATTAAGACACCTAATCCCCTAATAACTCCGTAGACCGGAAATAATTGTATAGATGCAAATCCTCACCTTCGTTACTAAAACTGATGCACAAGCACCATTGTCATCGAAAGCTAGTTGAATGTGTTCGGTATCAGGTTTTAAGCTGACCATAAACGTGACTTGATCATACCGTTGTTGGGACATCGTTAACACATGCCGTTTCGCCCTGAATCGAAACTTCATTATTGATCACACTTTTGATATTACCATTGTCTAGCAAATTCGGGCTGGCTAACATTATAATCTTGAGCTCTATTTTTGAAACGTCGATATTGCTCTCTGTTGAACTCGCGAACATGCACGTTTACTGTTTCTTTACAAGGTAAAGCGGGACCTCCGCTTCCACAACTTCGAATGGTATATAAGAGGTCAACAAAAACGCTGAAAAAAGCAATAGGATTAAAAAGAAATTCAAAAAACAAACATACCCCTTAGCCTTTCTGACAGAAAATGGAGGAACAAAAACCCAATGACTATGATTACTAAGCGAATCTAAGCTACATGAACCATATATCCTGACTGAGCTTTTTTCATCGATTCCTGCCCATGTTTCTTCCATCCACTAAAAATATACTCAAAATAATGTCCTTCTAATTCATGTGAACAAATACAGTCAGATTTTTAGGTAGATTTCTCATGCCCACCTACTTAATAGGTCTTTATCTTATATTCCATCACGACTTATAACCAATCCAACAAACCATTTCTGTTCATACCAATGCCAATCAGGGGCATGATCAATTAACGACCCGTTCCATTAAGCATTGTGGGAAATATGTTTTAGTGTTCCTCTCAAACTAATATTCATGAATTTGGGAAATCTCTGGTGGAACTTATGGATATTTGAAATCGGAACAAGCACTACTGAACGACTTGCTATCACGCGAAGAGGATTCCAAGCCCATTCCATATTACAATAATCTTCAGAAAACTATGGAACATTCCCTTTTTCAAAATCAGAACAAAGAAGTAGCTCTTCTATTTTCAAATCTTTCCCGTTTTCCGAAAACTTTTCTGGCACTAAAGAAGAAAGCAAAGCCTCGACCAACGAGACACTGTTGTGGACCAGTCAGCTTAAGGAACTAAGACAATAGACCATGAGGATGGGCACAGTATACACAAAAGTGGACTGTGCAAATTTATTGGGAGAATGGGAAAGACCTACAGATTAGTTCCTTGAGCCTAATTAAAACAAACTTATAAATCACAGCTGATCTATGCATGTGAACGCTTGTCCTTCCAGGCCTAGAGGCATAAAACTCCTTTTCAAGGCTATTCTGGTAATTTATTCCCCAAAAACTAACAAATGAAGTGAGAAATGTTAACGGAATCAATAGACCATGAAATAATCAACTTGAAAGACAAGGTTATAGACTATTGAAACGTTCAGGTCGTTAAGACTTATAAAGTTCTAAACCCCTGTTCAAACAGTAGAAGTATTAAAATGCAAAGTCGTTTAAATCACGAACTCAATGCCAGTTTCTGACAAGCCAGCATCAAAAAACACAGATGCTAACAAGCGAAGGCGCCAATAGCAATGGAAACAACACACGTGCCAGATTTACTATTCCTTTTATAGTCAGGTTTATGGCAACTGTTCTCTTACTCATAAATGATATGCAACAGCAGGCAACAGGAGAACTAAAGGATGAAGGTCTTTGTATTCAGAACAACACCCTGTAATTTCAGTTTGCCAGAACAATTTGACCCATCACGGGGAGTCGCACTTCAGCATCTCTAATATGGCAGCAAGAACTCAAATCATAACCATCATCTCACACACTTGCACTCAAAAGGCTAACGGCATCAATGAATTGTATGCTGTTCATTAACGATGGTCACTAGATATATAGGTTGGGAGATTGAGCTCATCCGCAGACCAATTCGGACATAATTGGATTACTCTGACTCTTGAATACGTAATCGATAGAAGACAGAATCGCTCATCTCCCATAAAACCAACTAACATCTTACGGCGATCAGAAGGTATTCCGTCTCTTTCTCGAATATTCAATTTTATTCGGGGTAGTGGACAGAAGATTTCACATTCCGTAAGATATAGCCGAAAAGAACATAATCATTGCAATTTGGATGTAGAATTCTCGAGGGAACAACTCTTTCACTCTCTCGACACAGAATATGTGGGGAGACTACAAACTCAAAATAAGAAAACCAGCTTACCCCGCTTCTTTCTGATTCCGATGTACTGGGAGGCCATGTTATCCAATTTAAATCTTTTTCTTCTGTTGAAGAGTCAAATAGCATTACTGAAATTAATAAAGAAATTAAGCTGTCCTGACTACACTGATAGTTTGTTTCTGTGTTTATGGGGTTGTGAAAACAATTGTTTTATCCACTTCACACTTGTGGTCTAAGACCAGCATGATGCCAAACAGCCAAATACCCTGCCGGCACTTGACATGAGACCTTTGCCGGAATAGTTAGTGTATAATCGTTGAGTTCTAATATACTTAAGAAATCTCTGCAGAATTTTACCACATACCGCCTTATATAGAGAACAATGAATAGAAAAAGTGGCTGCGTCTTCTTATCTACGCCCAAACACACTCAATTCTCGACTGCATCCACTCAAAAATGTGTGAAATGGAATGCAGAACTTGACAAAGCACTGAATAGATCGGATATCTCGTTTAGCTGTCCGCAAACATCACAAAAATTCAATACTTAATGGTACAGTTACATAGATATGAACTATTGTAAGTTTACTTAAATATATCTCTTTGCTCACTCTATATGGTAACCCAATCCATGGAGAGGTGCGACAAGGCTTCTCTTCGCTGTTTATATAAAAAGAAGAGAATAAGAAAATGAGGGCAGCTCATCACATCTTCTTCATATCATCCCATCGCCAATGTGGCTTCTCGTAAGTGAACGAAACGTTTAGACGCGATTGACCCATGATGGAGTGACTTTGAGTGACCCTCTCTTGATTTGAGAGCATCCATGTGTTCTAATACATGAAACTGGCCACATACACATTAAACTGAAGACTCGTCTACTGAATCCTTGTCCTTTGTCATGATAAAAGGCTAACGAATGTGTGAAAAAGGAAGATGGGGTGTTGAACCACATTTTCATCTTTAAATTGGAACTTAGTAGAGGAAATGGCGTTTCAATCTATGTGTGAACATGCGAAGAGATCGGTATGCCTTGTCCGATCGGGTGATTAGGGAAATTTTTGGAAGGTTTACAGAAATTGAAGTGACAGCTATGAAACTCCTAAACAATCGTCCTATCATCTTATTGCAAGTTCTAATTAATCTTCCAATTTCCCAAAACTTCATCGAAAGCTGGATAGATCTTATAGGAAAAGTTGAAAAGAAATAGGATAACTATATATATAAAAAGTTCAACTTTAAGGAAAGGTCAGAAAGAAGCAGCAAATTATGTTATTCTCAAGGGCATAGTTACACCTCATACATATGCAAGCTCTAGTGCCCAATCTATCATTCGCAACAGACTGCTATATGTGACGTTTTCATGAAATGTCAACGAAATATCAGCGGACAGGCTCTCGATTGTATAACCGATTGACTGTTGGCAACAATGAAATCTCTTAGTTCAATCCTCAATTCTCAACAATTTAAAATCGCAAAACTGACAGGATCGGCTAGGATTGGAATTGATGTTCGCCAGATCGAGCACCCGTAGTGCCAGCTCTATCAATCGTCATTTACACCTTTCTTCCTAGGTGCTAGCAGTTGCGAGCTATCAAATATCTCTTACCCATCATAGAAAGATCACAGCTGACAGTCACACTTTTCATATCAACATAGCTAATGTTTCCCCCACGCATAAATTATCTCGAAATTAGTATTGATTCGTTAAGAATAGTCTCACGCGCAAACTGTGGGCAATAAGGCAGTTATTTGTGAGCCAAACGGTATTGAAAAGAGTGGACAATAGTTAGAATGACACCAATTACTATGCGCATATAGAAGATTGCCAGCAGCAAATAAGAAGAACGAATGGCAACAATACACGACAAACTGACGCGAGAAAGATTTCACTAGCAACTTAGGCTCATAATGACAAGGGTCAAAAAAGTAATGGATACTTGAATGAAAAAGAAAAGGAACATACCTTGTGAGCCGGAAGCTCGGGATAATAATATGAATAGTAGCAATAATACTTCGTACATCTTGCTTTTGATTAGTACAAAGATTTGGTTTTAAAATTTTTCAATTCGTCATGTCCTGATAGAAATATCCGAATAAATAGCAGAATGCAGAGATTCTGAAAAAATAGATGATTCAATGATGCAAGAACATAAAAAGAACACAAGAGAAAGTTGGAGTAAAAGAAAAAGTTCGAGAAAAAAATAACAAAGCATTGAATTAAAATCGTCTTCAAACATTCGCTATAACAGAAAAAGGAAGGGGGGTCGCGACCATACGGACATCTTGGATTAGGAGAACGAGGGAGGGCGGGCCCGTGCACGACATAGCCCCGCCCATCGTAGAGGGTGGACCGGCGGTAAGACGAAAAGGGGTTGGGGTTACATTGAAAAAACTATTAGAAGATATAATAAGTGAGAAGAATCAAGCGGATAAACAACGGAACGCAGCTTAAAACTGAAAAGGTGAAAAGGGGTTGCTAAAAGCAGGCAGTCTTATGAAAAGGTGTGAAAAAGCAGTGAAACCTTAACAAGTTACGCATACACGACAAGGATTTTTTTGTTATAATCGGCAAAAGCTTAAAAAGACATAAGAACAGAAAAAATGATTGAAATTAAATTTCGAAAAAAACGAAATTAATTATGATACTAGTACTAATTAAGACCTCCATTATCGAAATGATTTAAACTACGGTATATCGTGGAGCAGACTTAATTAATCGACCTTTAATTATCCAGTTCGAAATATGAAAGTAAAAACGTTGAAAGGAAACGCATTTGGGTTTCTCAATCCCGAATTCGAAAATAATAAAAAAAACTGAACAAAGAACTGAGAACATATTGAGGAAAAAATCGTGAACAAAAAATCTTGAGTGAGAAATGTTTGTTTCACAGCAAGTGAAGAACAGCTAGAATCATAACTTATGCTTATTATGTTTTTTATTTCAATAAACTATGATGATAACTATCTCTATTACGTATTACTTGACACAAAAGGTCATGATAATGTTGGTAGTGAGGATTACTGGCTTCTTTTATCAGCTGTATTTTATGATCATGAACAACTTGACCATATAATTATGTAAAGTGGTAGATTTAATGGCTCCACGGTATGACAACCTGACTTCATGATCAAGATTATGTTATTTACCGCATTGAAGAGGGCAACGAGTCCATAATTCATTATGATTTTTTATGTCTCATTGGATGTTAGATATTTTTAATACATATTAGGAGAACTAGTTGGCAACAAACAAGGCTTTTGCACGCGACTACCAATTTCTTCATCTGACACGTACTTCACATTCAGATGAGCACAAGTGGAATTGCAAAAGCGAAACATATACAAAACGCTTTTTCGAAATCTGAGATATTGCAATAAAAAGGATGACGCGCAAGAAAATACTAAAATTTAATGTCAAAGTTAACAAGAAGTATATCTTCTTCTCAGAATTAGCAGCACTAGCATAATATAAAACACGAATATTAGCAATAAAAGCGCGGCTGTCATACAAACTAACCAAAGAAAGAGAAAAGAGAGTTTCGAGTAAAAGGAATAACTGATAGACCCGGCCAGTTGTCTAACTCCTGACAATAACTCGTCAAAAACTAAGAAATGCATAGATGATCAGAAGACTCACATAAGGAAAACTGAGCAAAGAAAGATATCAATCTCAAAATAGAGAGGAAATACGCGCAAAGGTTTAGCCTCTTCAAAGAAACAAGAATTCGAAGATCTAATCAAACAATTTTTCATATCCTAAGGTATGGGTGCCAAAAAAAACCAAAGCGCGCTCCTCCATTAGGCCCAATAAGATAACGAAACCAAAAGAGTGTGATTCGCAAGCGGCACATCTGAGGAAAAATGCCTTCCTTTTTTTGAAGAAGACTCCCAATTAGATTATGGACTCACATCAAAAGACGATTCCATAATGTTATTCACATCTGGGCTGTCAAAATGACCGGATGGATAAAGATAATGAATACTGTAAATGATGAAAACAATACAAGCGGGCAAAAATAATGACAATGACAGTTGGCAACTGCCATACAAGGCGACAGATTTTTGAGAATTCAGAAAGTACAATAAGACAAGACTACTAAGGAATGTTCTACTGATGGCTGAGATAACAATAGAAACGCACCTCCACACAAAAATTGAGAGCCATTTTGAACCGACCACTCTCGGCGACGCCACGAATCAAAATGATTAACGCGCCAAAATGTTCAGCTCATTCGAAAATGCGCTGCGTGAAACACGTGGAAATTATTCAAATTAGCAAGAGTGCAAGTCGTTGGATGATTTGCAGAAAATATTTTAGTGGCGAAAAGAAGAATCATGGACAGCTTCTTACCGGCTGTCCACTCAGCTCATCCCTGCTGCTATTCAATATAAACAAAAACTGTTCTTTGTTGACCCAATCACTGTTCTTCTGGCGCTGGTCGTTGAGCAGGTCTCATAACTTTTCTCCTGTATTTCAGATACAGCAGCAGCAACAGAAGAATGAATGAGGAAGCAGCAGGAGGTTTGAGTGCTGGGAAAGCCAAAGAACTTTGAAAGAAATCAAATAACTGCGAATGAAATGTGATTTGAGGATTATCACATAACTGGTTAGAACAAGAAAAGGTAGAGTGAATTGAGAGAACTCTTATTTCTCCCAAGGTAAACTGACAAAACCATGTTGTTTGTGGAAGGGATAAAAACAGGAAGATGTCTTCGAATGTCATACAGCTGACAATACGAAATGTAGTTTGAGCTGGTAAAATTCTCGTAAACCTCTTGAACCAATCTGTCATTCAGAACTTATCTGATATTCTATGTTTTTGAAATTAATAAGAAAAACTTAAATGTGTTTACGATTGGATGATATAGGCTGCAAAATACTTTCAGCCTGATGAATCATTAATTTGAAAGTGGACAGGAGGGTAAAAAAAACGTCTCGAAAGGAAAGTTGAGCAACAGAATGATAATGTTTCGGAGTTTTCTGAGTGATGGAGGTGAGGAATATTATCAGCCTGCGCCTATAGTAATTATTTCTAATGATAATATGGGCTATATAAACCTTAACAGATAAGAGAAGAAAAGCAGGCGGGCACATAAAAGAAGCTCATCTCATGCTATTTGACGATGAGAAAAGGCGGAATGCTAAGGTGATTATTGGCTTAAGGTGGGGGAGAAGCACTTCAGCTAAGGGACTACAAAACCCTTCTTCACACCCGCTTAAGTCACCTCTTTATCACATTCTTTCGTTAGTGTGCCTTGCACATGAAAGGATTAAGCGAAATCATTGAAGGAGACAAGAACGAACTTTGGCAAAAGGAATATTTGGGCGGAAAGGAATTTGTGAAAAGACAGAGAAGGAATGAAAAAAGACAGATTGCGTAGATAGAGGTCGATGATAGGAGCGTCTGGCAAGTTGTTTTCAAAAAATTGCGAAATGAAAATCCGGGAGCAACTTCATAAAACGTTTTGAGATTGAATTCGTGAATGGATTCAGAAAACATGCTTTACTAATGGCCATAAATGGAGTGGAGGTTAGGAGGGTGGGAGGGAGAGAGATAAGGGAACCTCTTGGTCTAATTAGACAAAAAACATTATCGGACAGTAGGATCTCGACTGGAAAAAGTTAGAGAAAAGGTTTCTTATTATTAGTAGGATGGGAAGAAAGGAAATTAAACATCTGGGAAGGTGTGATAATTCGGATGTAAAGGTTACACAACCAGAAGCATAAGTTGGCCGGGAGGTATATAATCAGATCGATTGGGAGGGGGGGAGAAGCGGCGAAATAACTCAAAAAGCATATTTTACAGATTTATGACTTGATTGAAGACAAGTGTGTATGAGGAGATACATCAATTTACAATCAACAGCTGGGATAAGATGCTATGGAATTTCTAAATCGAGTATTGGCGGCTTTTTGTGAAAGCTTTACCCAGCTATATACTGGCAACAGATGACAAATTCGTTGACATCCGGAAGACAGTTTGAACCGCATTGTGAAAAGGCAATCAGGAAGAGAAGTAGAGCTATTACATAGACGTATAGAAGTGAATCGGATACATAAGATTATTCAGATGGCTTACAGAGGACGAAAAAAAAGGTAAATGTTGGTTGGATGTAGAAAATACATTTTATGAGTCATTAGCTTTTACTTGATCGAGGATTCTCAGAGGAGTTATTGGAAGCAATAATTTTATATTGGCGGTATAATCAGATGCTCTTAATGAATTCTCTCTCTTTCTCTTTCTATCTCAGTTGGACTCTCTCTCTTTCTCTCTGCATTTTTCCCTTTTAGCTTTATGGCTCATCTGCCTCATCTGTTGGCACCTGCAACCGTAAAAGGCTCCAAACAACTGTTTAAAAATTAATGAAAAGGAGGAAGACGAACTATGTTAATCCGATTGAAATAACGAAATGTCTAAAGAAAGGTCAAGATTAATAAATGCCATCTGTGGCCGTTACTCACATTGAACAGACAACGGTTTTGAAACTTCGTCACGCTTCGTTTGCTCATGTAGAAGACAAGTCTGCTTGCTTCTTAAAAACTCTAATTTCATGCTAGTTGTCCTCAATGATAGGTGAAAACACATGTTGTCGCCATAAAAGGTCGTTTTAGACTTTTTTGGTGGTAGAATTACTTGTTAAGGAGGCTAATCCTACTACCACTAATTAGCACCTTAGTCCATAGCTTTTACATTCATAGAGGAGAAAGAAGGATTGAGAGGAAAAAGACACAGACCAATGAGGAGAATAAGACGGAGATGATGCAAAGAGATTTCAGAAGGTCATATTAGGGGAAAAAGAGAGGACCAGAGATATAATTTGAGGATAAGAAGCGAAATGAAGTAATATTATCTATTTCCAAAACTCTGACCTTTCCTCCTTGTTTTTTTTTTTAGAAAGTCGAATGGGTGATTAGCCCAGTTGTTAATGTGTGGATGTACATGATTATGAGAGGTTAATGGGCCTACGGGCTCATACGATCTGTCAAATTAGACATTTCTATGGAGCTTTTTTTAGTCTT